TAAACTTTAAAAAGTTTAGTGGGCTATGTAGGGTAAAAGAAAACATTTTCAATTGTTAAATCAGCCTTGCATTTCAGGAATAAATCTTATTGGTAAAATATTATCATTTTTATATATTGCTAGATTTTATTTGCTAATATTTTGTTGAGGAGTATAAATCAATTTTCAAAAGGGATAATGGCTATAATTTTATTCTTCTCTTGAAGTTGATATATTTTTTTTCAATTTTTGAATCTGAAAATGCCAAAACCATAGAATACTTTGATATTCTATGTTCTGGATGGGTTTATTTAGAATTGGCAACGTTTTTGTTCCTCAAATATTTGTTAGACTTCACCAGTAAAACCACCTGAACCTTGAGTTTTCTCTATGTAAAGGTTTTTAACTACAAATTAAGTTTCTTTAATAGACATGGGCTATTCTGGTCATGTATTTCCTTTTGAATGAGTTTTGGTAGTTGTGTCTTTTAAGGAATTGGTTCATTTCAACCAAGCTGTCTAATATATTGGCCTAAAGATATTAGTAATAATTTATTTTCTCATTTGAATATCTAAAGATTCTTTAGTGATACTACCTTGCTCATTCCTGTTGATAGTAATTTGTGATTTCTGTTTTGTCCCTGATCAGCTTGGATAGAAGTTTAGCAATTTTATTGATCTTCTCTCACAGGGCAATCTTTTGTTTACACTGATTTTCTCTACTATTTTTTTGTTTGTTTGTTTGTTTTATATTCTATTGATTCCTGCTGTTAATTATTATGTATTTTCTTTTGTTTCCTTTGGTTTAGTTTCATTTTATTTTGTGGTTTCTTAAGCTGGAAGATGAGGTTACTAACTTGAGAACAATCTTCTTTTCTAACCTTTGTAGTTTAGTGCTATAAACCCTTTAGTGCTATAAATTACTGTGTTAGCAGCATCTCACAAATTTCGGCCTGTAGTGTTTTATGTTCATTTCAAAATACTCTCTAATTTTCTTTTTGCTTTCTTCTTTGTTCAATTAGCTATTTAGAAATAACATACTAGTTGGGGCGCCTGGGTGGCTCAGTTGGTTAAGCGTCCGACATTGGCTCAGGTCATGATCTCACAGTCTGTGGGTTCGAGCCCCGCATCAGGCTCTGTGCTGACAGCTCAGAGCCTGGAGCCTGCTTCGGAGTCTGTGTCTCCCTCTCTCTCTGCCCCTCCCCTGCTCATGCTGTCTCTCTCTGTCGCAAAAAAAAAAAAAAAAAAAAAAAAAAAAAAAAAAAATTTAAATACAATTTTAAAAAAAGAAGTAACATACTAGTTTCTATGTTTTGGGGGATTTTAAAGAGATCTTTCTGCTAATGATTGTTCTCTGACCATTGTAATTAGAGAATATACTATGTATGACCAAAATTCTTTTAAATGTATTGAAATTTGCTTTTGATATGTTTGGTAAATATTCCATGTGTCTGCTGTTGTTGGATGTAATATTCTACAAATGTCAAATGTTCAAATCAGTTGATGGGGTTGTTCAAGTCTTCTATATCCAGACTGATTTTCTGTCTAGTTGTTCTATCAATTATTGAGAGTGTGGGGTATTGAAATCTCTGTCCTTAATTGTGGATTTACGTATGTCTCCCAGTTTCCCCCTGCCCACAGGAATTTTGGAGCTCTGTATCAAATGCATAAATGGTTAGAATGGTTTTGTGTTCTTGATGAACTGCCATTTTGTCATTATGGAGTAACTTTGCTCTGAAATCTACTTTGCTTGATATTAATATGGCAATTCTATCTTTTTAAAACTAATGTTAACATGGTGTAACATTTCTCACATTTTTATTTTTAATCTATTTGTCTTTATATATAAAGCGAATTTCTTGTAGGCAGCATATTAGTGGGTCTCCCTGTTTTACTCACTCTAATAGCTTCTATCACTGAATTGGAGTGAGTAGATTATATCCATTTTACCTGGATATTGATATGATCGGGTGTAAGCCTATTATCTTGCTGTTTGCCTTCTTTGTCTCATCTGTTGTTTGCTTCTCATTTCTTCTTTTTCTGCCTTCTTTTAGATTACAGGATATTTTTTATGATTGCATTTTACCTCCTTTGGTGGTCTTCATTTGGTTTGGTTATTGCATTAGAATTTGCAGTAAACCTCTGTAATCAGAGAGTAACTTCAAATGATATTATACCTCTTCATATATAGTAGAAGAGCCTCGTAATTACATACTTCCATTTTTCTGGTCTTGTGCTTTTGCCATGTATTTCATTTGTACACGTTACATACCTCGCACAATATTGTTGTCATTTTTTAAGCACTCCATTATCTTTTAAGGAGACTTAAGGAATAAGAGAACAGCTCACTTTTAAACTTTTAGCCTTATTATTTCTCTTTGAGAATGTTCTAAGAACTATGGACTGTCCCCTTAGAAAGAGTATACATAGACACAAACTATACCCTAAATACTGCTGATAATTACAGGGGGTTTTCTGAAAATTGAAGCCCATGCACAGATCCCTGCTTTATAAAACAGAGCATTCATGTAAGCAGTGAGGGTTCAAAAATACTGGGACTGAAGGTATTAGTCTTAATATGATTTTATTTGCCATAATATTTGTGAAGCCTATGGAAATTCTCAGTACGATATATTCATACAATGTTACATTATATAGCCATTAAATAACAGCTTTGAGGAGAATATATCAATATAAGAAAATGATAATAAAATATTATGTGACAAAAATAAGATACAAGATAAGATACACACTGTGATCATAATTGTATATATGAACATATGTCATTTACAATGTTTTTTGGCTGGAGGTAACAGAATACCTGAATAAAAGTGGTGTAAACTAAGTGCTTCTTTTTTTCTCAATGCAGTAAGTATATAAGTATATACCTCATTAGAGACATATTGTTTCTAGAGACATGTTGGTTTGACAACGTCAGTGCTGTGTCAGTTTCTCTTGGCCATCATCTCCTGATCGTAAGATGCTTGAACATTTCTCATTTCAAATTTTCACACATCTCTATTTTAACAGGAAGTAAAGTATTTCCCAGACAACACAACTGCCTTTCCTTAATCAGACTATCCCTCAGCCCTCATTGGCCGGGACTGGGTCACAAACCCTTGCTGCAAAGAAGTCTGAGAAAACAGACATTTGATATTTTCAAACCTCTGTTGTGGAAAGTCATTTCCTGTAGCAAGAAAGTAAGTTTGGGAGACAACTGAGAGTCTCTGGCACAATCAGCAAGAGACAATATCCTGGAGATAAATTCAGCAAGGCAATAATGCATACATAGCAGGTTATGAGTGATTTAGAACATTTGTTGTACATATCCCAAATTTTCAGAACTATGATCATGATAGTTTCATGAATAATTTACTTAACTGAAGAATAATTATCTTAAATTGAGCTAGACATAATACCTAGAATAACTCAAATTCTTTTTTTTTTCCTTCTCAAGATAATGAGGTCACACTGGTTGTCTGCATTTCAATTATCTAACATTTCTGAATTGACTAAAACATTGATTTCTTACATTAGAAGATTCAAATGAGCTAGCCATTTGAATAATACATTTATTATTATATAATAATAATATATAATTATATAATAGTATTAAATATTATTAATATTTGGTGTTTAATAATTGATATTAATTATTTAATTATTATTTCCATTCTACTGTTCACATATCATTATGAGCCCCTGGTACAAAATAATTTATTAATTTTTAAATCCCTGCTCTAGTGTTAATAAATTAAAATAAATAAATATTACAGTATCATTATGTTTAACTGTAAAAGGTACATATACTACATACTACTGTGTAATTCAAAAAAATCCTTGTTAAAACTTTATCTGATGATAAAGTTGAATGGAAAGTTCTCATTCTTGAATCATTTATGTTTTTTCCCCCCTTCATATGTCTTAGAGTCATTTTGGTGAATCTTAATGAAGGGAGGAAAGAAATATAGGTGTTTAGTTACTTTACTCACTTTGAATGAGAAGAACATTGATATCTTTGATAAGGTACTTAGACAAGACAAGAAAATTAGGGGTTTTGCGGACACAACATCAATAGACAGATTATTCTTCTTCTCTTCCATGCAGTCCTGTTGTGTTTTGTTTTTCTTTATCATTTCTATGTTTAACTAAATACACAATTTTAATTTGGGGTTAATTTTAACATTTGGAAGATGTTGTTTTAGTTTAATATGTTCCCTAGAGCAGTTATAGGTGGGATCATTTTTAAGTCAACAAAACACATATTGTAATTCAAGTTTTAATTTTTCCTACTAACCAGTGAAGACTGGGTGGGAGAAGAAGAAAATGCATTACAAATGGAGCATCAGTGGAAAAGTAGCATTTCAAGTCCACGTTGTGCAGTTAATGCTAATATTTTGCCCATATCCAGTTCTTAAGTCATTTTTTTCAGTTCAACATCATTATTTTTACTGTGTAATCTTTTAGTGCCACCAATATATTTAAAAATGAAAGTTCATCAGATAATTTTTAAGTACATAATTAAAATGACAAGAAAGTACTTTATTAAAAATAAAGATTTCCAGTTATTAATAAGTAGTCATGAAACTATACTAATATTTCTGGAAAAAAAAAGGGAACCATCAAATTAGCCTCCACATTTATTCCTTTTGAAACGCTTAGTACATATGGTTTAAAGCAATACCATTATCTACTATTCAGACTTCTGGAAAATGCAGTTCTTTACACCTTTATAAGATAGTGAAATATAGCGAAAACTTACATATCATGACCCATTTTATATTCCCTGCGAAAGTGGAATTTGATATAAGACTGGTTTAATTTATGCTACATTCAAGCAAAGTCATTACTGTCAGGACAGAAAAAAAAAAAGAATTTCAGAGTGGTGATTCTTCTTTAATATCAATCCCGAGATTATACTATGATAGCAAGATCCTATTATACTCTCATCTCCAAATGGATAGTGCACATAAGTAATAACAGTGGTTGTATATTAATTCTAATCTATACATTCCATTTCAGAGCAAAAGATAGTTTTTCCCCACTTCTGCCATCAATTGAGATTAGAGAATCCACTCTGTCCTGAGACTGATATCCTGACATGATGATGGAAATAATCAAGGTAAAGGACTTTGACATGCCACTTTCCTTAATTCACTTGGGATCCTAGTCTGTATTAGGGATTAAGCCAGGCATTTGATATTCAAAATTAAGTACAATGCAGTCCCTAATCTGACAGATCTTAGTATCTAGAATAATGGTAGACATGCAAATTATATATATCAATTCATATATTTCTAGTACCTGCTTCAGAACCTGGGATACAGAAGGCACTTTAATAGTAATAGGAGCAGTAACACCAATACTACTAGTAATACTATTATTACTAATGCCTGACATTTAGTAAATACTTACTAACCAGGAACTTACTTACCAGGAACTTTCATAAGTGATTTATTCATTTCATGACTCTTAAAAATGTAATGATATAAGTGCATTATTTTCTCATGTTATTGATGACAAAACTAAAACTCAGATAGATATCCATTGAGTAAACATATTGATTTGTCATCATGGCCAGCTCTACCTAGTGATTACAGGGAAAACATCACAGGTGTGCTAAACCCTGAAAAGAGAACACAAGTTGACCAGAATAAGAATCAAGCAAGTGGAGAGGCAAAGGGGACAGTCAGTGTAAAAAGGCTGGAGGAATACCAAGGAGAGGAACTATGAGTAGTATTTCAGTCAATCTCAAGTTTAAGGTCAAAATAGAGAGCAAAGATGAGTATTGAAGGGCAGAGACGTGGCCAACCAATGGAAGAAAATGTTACTTGCAATACTAAGTATGAAGGGGATGAAGGGAAGGGATTAGATGTAGGAGATATTTCAAAGACAGTGGCCGCAGGACTTAGTGATATAAGAGGCAAGGGCAAGGGAGAAATCTAAGGAACTCCAGGATTCTGGCCTGGGTGTGTGGTTGGATCCTTCAGAAGGGCGAGGCTGTTCTACGGGAAGATGCAAATTTTTAGTTTTAGATATGGTGATTTTGAGTTGTCTATTAAATAGTCAGCTGATATGCTCAGTCAATTTATATTCTAATCTAGAGCCCAGTAGGGAAAGCTGCACAGGAAGAACAGAGAAATATTCCTAATATATTATCTCTGAGCCAAAGTCATGGAAATAGATAAGAGCACCTTGAGGGAATGTGGGATGAGAAGAGAAGAGAAGAGAAGAGAAGAGAAGAGAAGAGAAGAGAAGA